TCCGATGTCATAGAAGCATTTAGTTCGTGTCACGAACGATTGTGAAACGAGGTCCTGAAACAAATTATTACAAGGTTGGAAACTTTCAGTTTGCGTCTGACAGTTTACGATTATCAGTACGCTTTTGTTTTCAGTTGAGTCTGTCGCTGTCGATACTTACATAAGTTACGCTTAACGTTGTACTAAAAGGGAAGTGTCAAGATTAAAGATAATGGTTATAACTATTGCATATACCACACGTGTTTATTTTTCAAAGGTAACAATCTTATTCTTACTAAAGTCATTGGAAATCGCCGATATTATCTGTGCAATTTTGAATTGAAATAAATTATTTGTTATACTGTTGATACAATTTGTTACATCGGTGCCGTTTATTTGCAGAAGAAAACGTTGTCTTATCAAATCGAGACTCTAAAGAGAGAGATCTCTTCCGCTTTGCAAGACAGAGACGACACTCTGAAGTTGTGCAATGAATTACGGCAGAAATTCGGCGATTACTCCGAAGGTTCTAGCAGAGACTATAAGCATCGTTTGGAATTAAACTCGCTCAGTCACGAACGCGACAGTGTCAGCAAGGAGGCCGAAAAGGAGACTAACACGAGAGATTACGCGACACGAGATAAGCAACGCATGGATAACTTGGAGCAAGCTAATTTGGAGTTGGATAAACTCAGGAAATCCGTGGATACTCTTCAAGCGGAGTTGGAGGAGGCCATTCAAGAGGCCGAGGTGTCTAAGAGAAGAAGAGATTGGGCCTTCAGTGAGCGCGACAAGATAGTGTTGGAACGTGAAAGCATAAGAACTCTGTGTGATAAATTACAGAAAGAGCGCGATCGTGCGGTCTCTGAATTGGCCGGTGCCTTACGCGATTCCGACGATATTAAGAAGCAACGAAACGAAGCGTCGAAGGAATTGAAGGATTTGAAAGAGAAAATCGAATTTGGCGACCATGCATTGCGAACTAGTCAGCTGGCACAGATTGATGATAGTAATGACTGGGATATGATTCCAATTCACGTCGAACCCGGTAGAATCTGCTTGGATTCAGATCGTGGTGACTTGGGACTGATTCTCGTCGGCGGCCGCGACAGCCCGTATTATCCGAACGATACTGGCGTCTACGTCGCGCAGGTGACACAGGGTAGCGCTCTCGATGGTAAACTACGGGTGAACGATTGTATTGTGCGAGTGAATAATGTCGATTGCACGTCTGTGTCGACCCGTGTGATCTTAGAAACTCTGCGCTCGTCCACCGTGAATCCGGCAACATTAATCGTAAAGCGGCGACGGATAACCAGGCGATCATTGAGAACTACACAGTTATCGGTCGGCACAGTGCCACATGGTATTACTTTAGAACTTGGCATCTACATTTCAAAAATATCGCCCGGAAGTTTGTCTGCTAAAGATGGAAACCTTGCTGTAGGAGACAGGGTATTAAACGTAAGTTATATGAAACACTTTATCACATTATTTGTAATTTGTATAGATTAATAAATACTTGTAATATACGTACACGACAAGTATATGTCATAAATGGCTTTTTTTTTTTAAATTAAACATTTTATTTAACATTATATTTATTTTCTATATTTATTTTCAGATTAATAGTAAACCCATGGACATTATAACCACAGCACATGAAGCGATGGCTATTCTAAACGATGATACTGTAGATGTATTAACCATTACGACGTTGAAAGGTATTCCGGTACCCTCCGCTGCCAGCTCGGAGACGGTGACGATAGACGGCAGTTTTGTTGCGGAGAAACAAAAGATGGTAAATAGCTGTTCGCAAACTGAACAGGAGAGAATGATGCTGAAAGCCTCATCAGATGATTACGAGAGACGATATCTGTCAACGAATTTCGCTGACCGTAACGTCTATAAGGCTGCGAAATCTGTGAGCGGCGAGAAATCGAGTGGAATCAGCAATGCTTGGGATAACTTTAGAGAGAAGATTGACATAGTGCGTGGTCGCAAACACAGCAAGGAGCGCGACGATAGCAAGAAGAAGGGCCATCGCAATTCTAGTCCGAATACCTTTGAGCAGGAACAGGACGCCATAGCGGAATTGGATTCGGTGATCGACAGCTACCACAAGAAGGCGAGCAACAGCAACAACGGCGTGTTGAAGCGCAGCAAGCGCCGTGGCACTGAGAAGATTGAGAAGAACGGCGGCACGTGGCCGAAGGCGCGTGGCGGACCCCTCATACAAAATGGGACCGGTACTATATTGCACCCGCGCAAATCGAAAGAACGTTTTCCTCTCAGTGTACTCCTGCATCCACCAAAATACGATAATTATAATTATAATCGTATCTCCAACCCCATCCCCCTGACCAATTTTTCCAATGTCAATAATCGTCATACCGTTTACAAAGCAGTGGAGACCCCGCTACCGAGCTTCAAGACCGGACAGCTCTTTAACCAGAAGCCATCGTTCACGCCGGCGGTGCAGTTCAAGGACATTCCGATCGACGGTGGCAGCAAGAAGCCGCCGTCGACGGAGTTCGAGAGCAGCACGTCGGAGGCCGGGCGACTTGGCTCCGCGCTGGCGCCATCCGAGACTAGCATCGATTTCTCGGTCAAGTCCGGCGGTGCCGGTCGCGATGTCGACTCGTACTTCGCGAACAAACGGCCGCAAAAGTATACGACCGGCAGCAGTAGCGACACGCAGGTGACCACGGATACGCTACAGCACAATCGCGTTCACTCACAGCTCTACTCATCGGGCATCGGTGGTTCGTCCACGTCTGCCGCGTCAACCACCAGCGGGCCGACGTCGCGACAGCAAATGGCACCTGGTAACTTTCCGTTTCCCTCGCATCATCCATACGCCGCGTCGTCGCACCTGCATCATCTGCATCCGCATCCCACTCAGCACCAGAATTCCTTGCCCTCACGTTATCCCTCGCCACCGTCGCTGCCGTCCGCGCAATCAGGCGAGTCCATAGGTCTGCCTGACGCACGTACCTACTGTTTCGAGCCCCCATATAGCCCCGGACCTTCGCAGACGACCCCGACCACTTTCGGCCATCTGCACACGCCCTCCGTAGATCTGCACTATCACAAGCCACGTGCACTTCCGCTCGGTATACCCTGCGACACGTCTATCTATGGGCATGGATACGAAGGTGGCACATTGCCAGGCCGGAAGGAAGACCAGCGCATCCGTATACCGTCCAACACCAGTGTCACGTCCAAGAGTAGTGTTGGCAAATTGTCTACTGGCAGCATAGAAAGAACTTCCGAGCGTGGCAGCCCGATGCCGACGTTTCACGTAGAAGTGTTGAGCCCAGGCACCGGTAGTACTAGTGGGATTGGAAGCAGCGGCGGTACTGTGAGAGGAAACAGTAGCAGCAACAAGCGCGCCAGTATGCCAGACTACTGTTACTCGCAGCCACGGCCAGCACCCGGAGAATTGCGCAGAGTCCATATAGACAAGTCCGTGGAGCCGTTGGGAATTCAAATCTCGTGCCTGGAGAGTGGTGGTGTGTTCGTCTCCACCGTATATGAACACAGCCTGGCATCGCAAGTCGGTTTACAGATTGGTGACCAATTGTTGGAGGTTTGCGGTATAAATATGCGAAGTGCGACCTATCAACTGGCTGCTAATGTTCTACGTCAGTGCGGTAACTCGATTACAATGCTGGTGCAATACAGCCCGGATAGTAAGTAAAATCTTTTTGCACAAAAATAATGCAATTTTTGAAAACGCACTTTCGCAATCCAACCTGTAGCATGTTCTTTATTCAAGTAGCATGACTTAACGCTCCCTTTCTCCATCTTCTTTCTCCGTCTTTTTCCTTCTCCATCAATATCTTTCGATAACTTAAATTTGAAAAATTTTTCATTGTAATTTTTCAGGATATTTTGTTTCTTATGCATTGACGTTGTTGTGCATTGAGGTAAATTTTTAAAAACTTACATTTTTCTTTGCAAGAATACACCGAGTTAGAAGGCTCGGCATCCTCGAGTTCGTCGGAAGCCGGCGACGGAGCCGCGACTGGAAGTCGTAGCGGCTCGCCAACACCGTGCAATAGTCCAGAAGCACCTCGAAAGAGTACAGTGGAAACGTTGGAGCCCGCTGAACCTGAACGCGACGCAACCATCACTATCACCACCACTGCTCCTACCGTTACCACTACTGCTGCACCTACAATGAGCACATTGCGCGTCGAGCACATGCGGCCATCCGCCTCGCTGGAAGTAAGAAGCACACAAGAGCGGGAACGTGAAATGAGACCCTCTGCGTCGTTGGACATCAACATTCGTAAACCGGAACTTCGCAGCGCTGCCACGCTGGATCGATTGAGTCGCGCACAAATGATGCGGCAAAACGCGATGAGAAGTCCCACACAGGAGGAACAGAATCGAAAGCCACCACCGAGTGCTGAGCCCCGGTATCTACTGATTGAGACCAGGAAATGCTCGAACCTCGGTATATCATTAGTGGGTGGGAACGGTGTCGGTATCTTCGTACATTCTGTTCAGCCAGGTTGTCTCGCTGAAGAAGCCGGTCTGTTTGCCGGAGATAGAATTCTGGAGTACAACGGCGTAGATCTGAGACAAGCGACCGCCGAGCAAGCCGCGCTTGAGCTGGCTCGACCAGCGGACAAGGTGACGCTAGTCGCTCAATACATGCTAGAGCGATATAACGAAGTGAAAGACAAGCCAGGCGACAGTTTTTACGTGAAGGCGCTATTTGACAGAACTGGCGAAGTAGGTGATAGTCTGCAGCTACGATTTAGTAAGGACGATATTCTTTACGTGGATAATACTATGTTCAACGGCACACCCGGCCACTGGCGCGCCTGGATAGTTGATCAAACCGGTCGTAGGCAGACTTGCGGGATAATTCCAAGCAAATTTAAGTGAGTTACGTTTGTTGTGAATAATAGTATATTTAAAGTGGAGAAAATACGATTGATACGATATTTTAATCAACGATTTAAACTGTGATTTATCTTCAGGGTTGAAGAAGAATTGCTCCTACGTCGGTCTTTGGGTGACTTGGAACAAGACACTGGCAAACGCAGCAATACTAGTGCGAGAAGAAGTTTTTTCCGTCGAAAAAAACAGCAACAACGATCGTCCAGTAGTAGAGATAGTTGCAAGGAAATATCGCATCTTACGGGAGTCAATCTGGGATGGTACAGCGACAGTGGGACGTTAAACGAAGACACTCTTCCAGCGAGTTATCAGCGCGTCGAGAGACTCGATTGTACGTATTATCAACTTCTTAATCCTCTGCCTTCTCAACAAATTTAATATTTTACTCTGCTAGCTCCAAATAAAACTGAAAAAAAATTCTAAAAATTTTAAATGCTGAGAATATATTGAGGATATATTTTATAATTATGAATATATTTAAAAAATAATTTATATTTTATTTTTTTAATAATGTGTGATACAGTTTAAAGCATTTACCCAGATGAAATTCAGATTTCGTTTTACAGAAAAGTTTTTTTTTTTTTTTCAAATTTAGACGCTCAAAAATTCAAATTTATTTAATATTTAACAATATAACGTAATAACGAAATTACGCAAAGCGAAATATTGACATAAGTAATAAATTATGCAATATAAACAAGTATCAAAAGTATTTTTTAATTTAAATACTAGCAGGTGTAAGAACTTCATATAAAGTCTAATTTAAGTCTTAAAGGTTAACTAAAATGATAGCTTCTCAATATTATTACATTATGCCTTTACATTTTGAATGTAAAGTATAACGATTCGTTTGTCTCTGATAACAGATCCTACTCTTAGACCCGTGTTGATCATCGGTCCGCTCAGCGAATGTGTGGTAACGAAACTTTTGCAAGAATACCCGGGACAGTTTACCAGATGTCTGGCAGAGGCGATGCATTGTTCGCAATCGACTTTGGAGCAAGGATTACGCGATTCTCTCTATGTGGATTATAGGAAAAAAGGCAGCTATTTCGAATGCACAACAGTCCAAGCCGTTAAAGATATATGCGAGAAGGTAATAAACAAATATATATTATTACTGAATAACGATCAATAGAATAACAAGAATAATGTATGGCAATATTATCTTGGATAATATATTAGATATTAATAACAAAAAGTAATTGATCTTATTTAATGAATATGTATATATATGTGTGTGTGTGTATATATATATATATATATATATATATCGATATTTATTTGTGTTATCTCCATTATAGAATACGCATTGTATTTTGGATGTATCAATGGCTTCCATTGAGAGGCTTCATAGACATCAAATTTATCCTATCGTCCTATTAATCAAATTCAAGGATAGGACACAAATTAAAGAGGTAAAGGATTCCAGATATCCAAGCGACAAAATCAGTACAAAGGCTGCAAAAGAGATGTTTGAACAGGCGCTCAAGATAGAGGCAGAGTACAAGCATTACATTTCTGGTAAGCAAATTGTGTTTCTAATTTTATTCCCATATGTAAAAAATATACAAAATTTTTTTATATGTGTTGTTATTTTAATAACATGGTCTAGCAAATTAATTTAATATATATTTTATAGTCGAGTATTCATAATATTTTTTTTTTACTTTAATTTAGAATATATTAACAACTTGTAACAAAAAATAAGAAAAATTAAATTATACTGTAAATTAATGGTTCAGTTAAATTATATTTATTCTAACAACGTAATGTAATGTAAACATACGCGTGATGTCACGGTTTACTTATGCTTTAACAATGATTTCAGCCGTGATTCCGGCGGGCGTAAGTGTGGCATATATATGCACACAGGTGAAAGCCTCAGTAGAAGAGGAACAGAGCAAAGCACTGTGGATTCCTAGAGGAGGTCCCTGACACAAAAGGGGGGGTCCCCACAAGCCGCAGTGGAAGTCAATCTAAATTCCACCAGGGGGCCCTTACGTCGTGCATATTTGCGAAAATTGTTGTGCAAAATCAGTTCTTTTATTTATGGTCTCTTGATTTCGGAAGAAGGATATTATGCGCTTCACAGATATTTTTGCTTAACAAAGTATCGCTCAATTTGGTTGTGATAGGACGAATTCTTGCGAATTATTTTGTTTTAGCGCATTTAACTCGTTGAATTATCAATATAAAACAGGTACGTACAATATCTTATTTTTCGTCACGTTTCTTTCAGTTATCATTCGAAAATTATTATTTTGCTGACTTTCAGTTATACAAAGTTCTTTTCACATTTATCCGCATCAGTATGTCAATATATAGCTCATCTGTGATCACTATAAATCTATTGACTAATCTAGAGAGAGAGAGAGAGAGAGAGAGAGAGAGAGAGAGAAGGAGAGAGAGAGAGAGAGAGAGAGAGAGAGAGAAATTGAAATCTATAGAAACAACTACAAACTAAATTTATTTTTGAAGGATTATCTCATGTTCTTCTTGGAATTGACTTTTTTGACGAATATTGTAAGTAAAAAATATTAATGAAAATATCATAAAATTGGTGCCTGCTCTTTCAAGTATCTACTTGCTCATTATTGATTGGCTAAAAATAGCAAACAATTCATGTTCGATAGTCAGATTGCTCCGATCGCGTATGATTAAATGATGCAACGGGAAATGCAGCTAAAGTTGATAAGATCAATAATTTATACGAGACCATAAATTGTTATAAAAAAAAAACTCGTCGTATTATGGCCCGTTACAAAATTGGTGGATTAATATTGACGAATTGAGGTTGATTAGAAAAATAAGTTATAGTCGTTTTGGTGGCTATCACATTGCTAATTAACCCCTCAGACCAAACTGATGTACAGATTAAAATTGATAAAAAATTGATTATTCTAAGTAGTAAAATTGTGTATAAATATATATATATATATATATATATATATATATATATTTACGTAACGTTATATTACATGTATAACGTAATATTATATGTATATAATTTATTTGCGCAAATTTATATATTTACTAATTTAGTTTGTATGTCAAACTTTATGTATTATTTTATATTATCTTTTTAATTGTGTAATTATTTAGAGAAATAATTTATCCCCCATATGATGTGTATCAAAGTTTGAGGGGTTAAGAAATTATTAAGTTAGGGAATTGACAAAAGAGATGAAGATGATGTTAATAGAAAGGATGGAATTGACGTAAACGATGCTTCGTTTTTACCGAATTGTAAATACTAGTGTCGAAATATAGTATCTATCAGTCAAACATAGTCGACGAGATCGAACATATAACATTCGCGATTTAAACGTAACAGTATGCACGATCGACCTTCTTATCATCTAAGATCGGAGTTTCTGCGGATTTATACCATTTCTATTTTTAAGCGAGCTATTCTTACACGAGCTTATATATAGGCGTTTCATACGATGCGGTTACACGAGTTCGAGCCACACATACATATACTTTTAAAAGTACATCGTAGATCACGGGAGATACACTAGTATCCGAAAGTGGATGCATGTATCTTTGTATGTTCTAATAATATTATTTGTAAATACGACTTTTCTACAATACCGAGAGATATATTTGATTTAAGAGATGTAATTAATTTTACGATTTAGTACGTATGAGTTAACTGTATCTGTACCTGAACCTTGATTTCTTCGTAATTTGGTAGACGTGTTTTAATCCTCAACTAGCGCACAATATTTGATTTGAGATTTTGGAGCACATGGGTTGTATTACCCCGATGTTTTTAATCGCGTACGTCTTTATATGTAATGCACAGAATTTGAACAATTTTTTTTCAATCAGTACGTCGAAGGATCACAAAGAGGAATGAATAGATATGAAAATTAAAAATATTTGAAATATTTAGGAAAAAAGAAAAAAAATTTAATTTGCGAAAAATAAGATTTTTTTGAAAATTCGTAGTTTCGAGAAGAAAACTATTAGGAAGATTTTTCTAGCGGGATTTCAAATGTAATCATACTTTGAAAAAAAACTATTATTTCGAATATTTTCAAAAAACATTTTTATTATGTGGAATTCAATAATCTAATAAATAAAAAACAACTGTAGAAAATTCCCATTTATCCTCGAAATTAACTATGGTGAAGAATTAATAGTGTGCAGGGTTGATAACTTTTTTTTTAAACTAAGTTAAGTTAAAGTTAACAGTCTTGAAAATTTAACTTAATTAAAATACAAGTTAATTCATAATAAAATTAATTGAATTAAAAGTTAAGAGAGAATTGATAAAAAAGTAATTGAAAAGTTAAAAGTTAAGTTTGGTTTGAACGAACAACAAAAAAAAAGGAAAAGTTTGACTACTTTGCATAATTTTTCAAATTTTTCCTTTTTCACAGCTTATTTATTAAAGAATTTGGTTATTTTTGTTTACAAGTAACGATTATACAATGTAAAATTACTAAATTATATACTCATTAGTCTCTCGCATTGTATCTGAGGATTGACTTCAAAAAATCAAATTAAAAGTTAATAATTACCGATAAAATGTAACTAAATTAAGTTAAAAAGTTAAGAATCTAAAATGTAAGTTAAGTTAAAATTAATTAACTTTTTAACTTAACTTTTATCTTTTTATCTTAGCACTACCAACCCTGATAGTGAGGATGTAAAACTTTTCTTTTTTTACTACCCACTCTAATCCATTCCACCCTTACGGCTTGTAAACGCTGTTATATACTCGGGTGTGGTAACCCAGTGCTCCAGCTGAGGGTTAAGAATAACAATTTGAATGTGTCTTTTTACTATAAAAAAGGATATACGGAAAAAGTGTTGAATTTACAGCAGTAGCTAGCAATCTAATTGAAAATAATTTTAATTTAATAATATTTATGAAACAAGTATGTTATACTCTTGTTTTAATAAAATTTGTTTCAGTAATACTATTATTAAATTAACAAGCTTATTTTCAATTAGATTACTGTTAGCTAATGTTGCTAACGCAATATCATTTTTTTTCGTATACATTCATAAATATTGGTATCTGGTATATACGGTACGATGAGAGAGAGAGGAAACATTTTCTTCTTTCGAAATATTTTTTCTCGAAATATCTTTGATATTACAAGAAATCAGCTCTTACGAATCATCTTACGATGCAATTAAATGCAGTTCGGTACTTGTGATAATACAAATAATAATCATCTATGCGAACAAGTCGACGATTTAGTATCTGTCGTATATCACATAGAAAAGAGTGAGAACAAAGGGATACAGAGAAATGCCAAACGAACTTGTTGGTTTCACGCGAAATTTTGTTTTCAGCGAGACAATATATCTAGACGTAAGTTAGAAGTGAGACCAAAAACTAAAGGATTACTAACGCTAATTCCTAAGGATTGTGATTAAACTTATTCGTACTCGGGTAATAGGCATGTTTAACACATAGAGAAAACGGACAGAGATATACTTTTTGATATATTCGGGGAGAGTTTGCTCTGCGCGATTAAATATTTTCTCAAATGTTTCATACACTACAGAATACGCGCTTGTATTTAATTGTATACATAGGGACCAAAAAAAACATTGATTTCGACACGATAAAAATATGAAAAAAGAAACGGATTATAGTTTATACAGAAGCTTTTAAGGAAAACAACGTAAAAAAACGAACGATTTCTAGTTATCTGAGAAGAACACTTTTATGGGTACGAGAAAAATATGTATATGTACATGTATATTGTGAAACTTATTTTTAATCGGAGACTTCAATCCTCGGACATTGCTCTCCTTCCAAACTGTTTCGAACGATGTTTGTCGTATGGCGAAAACAAAATTTCAGTAAATAAACTTGATAGTTCAGAAAACCGAGAATAAAGACGGAAAACGAGGAGAGAAAGAAAAAAAGAGAAATTAAAGCTGTTGCGGTTATTCTCTCAATCACAGCACTGTGATACATATAGTATATTACTTCAATGACATATCAACTTATAACAATCCTTTTACACACACATACACACACACATATATATATATATATATGCAATATATATACAATATGAAATACATATTTTGGGCAATACTTATACAATAGATATGTACGTTACAGACAAGTGTATAATAATGCACTCTCAATATTTTTCATCGTAAGCACGTGGTTTTGATGCAACAATTAAATTAATGTACGCGAATATATATGTAAAGATGTAAAAGAATCGGTATATTGTATCAGAGATTTTGGGGACAAGTCAAATACGATCGCGAACTATTGTATGCTATTAAGGGTGCGTTCCACTTAATGTTCGCAACACTCGAGTTTTTTAAATATTTTTGTGCATTATTTGTGTCGTAAATACGATTACCATCTTTCGAAAAGTGTACCATTGGAGATTCTCCTATTAAAGTTCCCACACGGAAAAAAAATTAATTGAGTGGTACAACAAACCTATAATTTACTACGCGAATTCAACATCGCTAGCTAAGAAGATTTGATGGTTTATCAAATCGCTAATGTTATTCAGCTGTCAATTTTGCTATTTTAACATAGAAAATTGACTGTCTGTATATTACGACTGTAGATTTGTTGAATCAGTGAAGTTTTTTCCGTGTACTATTCTGCCAGAGACCCTATTGCTACAATTAAAATTGTTACTATTTTATAATTTTTCTTTTATACACAGTCTTATAAAAATCATCAGATTTAACCTTAGAGGGCATTTTCCAGCAAAGACATAGTTTATGCTTTTCATTAAGCGACATAATGTAGCTTAATATTTCATGTGATGACAAAATTTATTAATTGACTACAGGACAGAGAGGTTTTCGGATACCAAATTTTTGGAATTTTAATATAAAATTTTAGAATTAGATAAAAAAAAATTATAAAATACTTTTCGACAATACTTTCGAAAAATACAATTACCTTCCAGTCTTCTTAAATCGTAATAATCAAGTTAAACAAGTCTCTTGATCTTAATAAAATCTCGAATCTTAAAATAATCATATAATAATTTGTTACACTAAGAATTTCCAGAATCGCATTCTAAATTACTTCATAAAACAAATTTATTTTGTTCTCTAAAGGGAGACGATTAGACAAATATCAGCATGCAGATTACGACTGGTCCCCATTCTCTGCTGTTTTCTGTGACAGATAACTTGCATGTGCCACTTGTCTCAATGCACTAATCGTCTGATACATGATAACTAATCAGTTCTATCGTTCTTAGAACATCAACTGTCTCCTCGCCGTATTTATATTGTCGGTTTATATTAACTTTATATCTACATATGACCGTAAACCGTGCAAAATGATATACGTAATTTTTTTTTCTTTGTTTTATGTCTTATAATGAATGAACACACTGCACAAATGTATTCAATTCTTTTAATGATATTTCGGATCGTAATCAATATTTAATATTAATATCGTTG